CCTCTCCACTATAGATGTCCTCGTGAGCTCTACTGTATCATGATGAAGACAGGACGAGACCGGACCGCCCCTGGAGTGGGCGCTCATCACCACCCAAGAGGCTCCTCTCTACCATACTCAGAGCACACCCATCTTCAAAGAGAGCATCGGGCTCTCCTACTGACTGGCTGATAACCTCATTACCACCCACCTCTCTACCGAGAGAAGTGAGCGTGACTGCAGATACGACATCGATCTGGTCAGGAGGGCATGGCACTTTCGGAGGGGGGAAGGGTGGGTCTACCTCTAGATGGTCACTCCTCTGCACAGCCGATGACTCCTCCTTAGTATGGCCACGATGGACCTCACCAAAGCCTATCAGTGGTCTATGCCTGTCGGGGTTCTCAACCTCCATCACCCTCCGTCTCATCTCAACCGCCGCCTTATAGACTATCGAGAGCAGCTCGGCGGGGCATACTAGGTCAAAGGAGCCCTCGGTGAGGAATAGAGGGTCCACCTCTAAAGGGTCCGTCACCAACGGTGGTTGTTCCATCAAGGTCGAGGCTGGTCTCCCTGTAGAGATGATTCGAGAGCTTATAACATTCAAGAGATCAGCAGGCCTGAACAGGAGGCGTGCAAGGCCACGACGGTGGCGGTGGACCTACACATGTCCTGAGGGGGTGTATGTGTCCGCTACACCAACTATCCATTGCTTGAATGTAAGGTAGTCGATTGGGGTATCTACTGGAGACTTTCCGACTCATACTACCACCCTACTGCCCTCACTATCGTCCCCATCGGTGACGATGTCGGTCTCGGTGTTAGCTATTCGTCCACAGAGGCGGCTCCTCCTGTCGGACCTAGCACTACCCCATGGACCCCCCTATGTGATGGGTTACCCATGGCCCTCAGTGTCGGTAAGAGCCCCACCAAGAAGGGCATGTACGACTAGGAGCTGTAGATGATGGAAGGATGATGGAGTGATAGAGGAGGGTACACCAGCATGAGCTGTTGATGACCATATGGTCATCACCGTCCTATCCATCTAAAGGGGGGAGGGTCTCCTTACAGTGGGCCATACTATCACCTTTGGATCTATTCTCTCGTATGGTACCAGAGCTGAGGGCCTCGCTACGGTAGACCGTAGACTTCCACCGTTGAGGGTACAACCAATAGGGGAGGGATGATACATCGAATGTCACCTCTATCAAGTGTTAATTTACTACTATTACTCAACACCCTCATTCACCCTGAGGAGAAGCCCGTCGTAATATGCTCATCAACCTGGAGAGTGAGCCGAACCAGTAGGACGTTTGTTCATGTCAGGCC